TTTTATTCTTACATGAATAAATACATGTGAAGCTTCTTTACATTTTTTTAACCATGGATCATATTTTGAATCATATAGCATATCACGATAAAATAAAACAGCTGAACCACGATAAAATGAAAATTCATTTGCAGCCATTTTACGAAATCGATTACGCCATGCTTTAGGATTTTCACGTATATCATTGGTAAAACTTTTTAAAAATGTATCAATTATATAATTTGTTCGTTGTTGATCATTTTCAGTAGAATCTTTATTATGTGAACTGGATGAATGATGTCGATGTCGATGTTGATAATGATTGTGTGGTGACGGTGGAGACAAATACATAATGTGGTTGATTTCTTTTTACTTTATAATAAACACGCAAAAACCGATGCATATAGTAATAAGGTTTTACATTGTACTATTACGAAGAATCGCTCAAGTGTAACGCACAACAACAGTGACCTCATAATTACTCATGTATATTACGTGTTTAAGTCGGTTTTATAGATAGTGATTTTTGAGCATACATAATAGATCATGGATTGATTGCAAAGAAATAAATTTGTACAAGAAATTATAAAAAATTAAAATTAAAATCAATAAACCTTGAAACAAAAAGTATTTATAAGAAACACTTTGACTCGTGCGTAATATTTTTTTATTTTAACATTTGATAAAGTATGAAAACTAATAATGAAATGGAAAAAAGAAAAATTCGCAATAGAAATTTTAGCTTTACAAATTTCAAAATTTCGATCTCTTATTATGTATAGTTATCATCAGCAAAGATGACAAAACATTAACAAAAGCTTAGTATACAAAGAAAAATATATAAATGAAAAGCGAAAAAGGAATAGATGAATATGAAACAAAAACTATATTCTACAATAGAACAAAAAAACATATATATAATTATATAATGATTCAGAATCATATAAACATAGATTGATTGATAATAAAAAATAAATCATATACTGATCCAAAACCACAATGATCAAAAATTGATCATAACCACATCCTTTGTTATTATTGTTGATAGCGACCGTACCTAATAAAAGGTCGAAAATTTCATATTTGTAAAAATAATATATATATTGCAATTTTTTCTTTTTTTTTTCATTTGATTATTAAGTTATTTGAATATATCCAAGCGTCTATATTTTTTTCATGAAATCCTACATTTCCGATAATCGGTAGTTCACCATTTCATCAATGACACGAGTAATCAAATTGCAAATATCTTCATCATTAATCAAATTTCAGTAGAAAGACAATGAAGGTTTATGATAAAATCATTAATTAAGTGCTGAAGCTACAATAATATCTGATATTTGTACAGGTGTCGCTTCGCTTTCGAACTAGAACTTAGTGCATCTCGCAGACCTAAGTGTGAATTACGTCTGCTATAACAAGAACTGGTGCTTATGATCTATTCTCGAGGAGATCGAATCCTTTTAGTAAATTTTTCCTGACAAATTTCACCTTTGCAACAAGATCATTTTTTTCGAATTACGATGCGAAATTCTGTCCATATAAGAACATCAATTAGATTAATTTGCATAAAAAATTTCACAATTTTTGAACTAGGTCTCTCCGAGATACAGAATTTTCAATGAATATGTCATTTTCTATAGAGAGCATATATTTTTTGACAGCTTCATATCTCGACGAAATTCATTCTAACAATTCTGAAATTTTTTGTGCAAGCTAGCCTAACTAATGTCTTTCTGTAGGTAAAGTTTCAGATCGTAATTTGAAAAAATGACCTTACGAAAAGCATGGAATCCTGTAGCAAAAATTGGCTAATACAGCCTAACTTCCTCAGACACAGGTCATAAGCACAAACTGTTTTTATGATAGATATAGTTTACTAATATCAGAGGTCCCTTTTGCTTCTTCTTTTAGTTCAGTTTTATTTCGAATGACCCGACCCAAGATAGAGAGCATCGCGATGAGAGAAAAAAAAGAATCAAAGAATGTAAACAAAGAGAACGAAAACAGAACAGAGACAAGAAGCGAATGCCAAAGGCGAACAGAGAGAAAACGGATAATAACAGCTGAAGCGATGTGAGGGTATGTGAACAACATGCCTGTAACATACCTCCCCACCAACCAGAAAATGTGTGTCCACATACATTAAGAAATACAAAAAATTGAAAGAATCGGATTAAGATGATAAGCGAAAAGATGTGTGATGATATGAAGAAAAGATGCGGCAGTATAAGAATGCAGCAGAAAGTGATAAGGAATCAAAAAAAAAAACGAAAGAAATTGATAGAATCTGAATATATACCGAGAACAAAAATGTACGAGCGCACAAACGATAATATGAAAAAAAAAAAAAAACAACTAATAACGAGGGTTGTAAGTATCTTTAAAATTTGAGCGGTGGTAAAGCAAGTGGAGATGCATAGCGTACATCAGGCGATTTAGCAGTCTGTTCCAAATTGTCGAGACGACGAAGGGTACTCATAAGAATATTGCCCATCGGATGAAATTGACTAAGGCCAGATGCATCAAGTGCTTGAAGAGCGAGAGGTTGACGATGACGTATAGATCGACGAAGGCGGCGATATACGAAGAATACAATGACGAGGACAATAATAATGACGATGCCAATGATAATAGCACTTCCAAGGAAGATGTTGTGTGTCTGATCACGATGAGTACTATGCGATTGTTCTAAGACGGAGATGCGATGGTGAACGACACTATTAAGAAATCGTTTGCTACGATTGACATGGAGACTGGGGGTACATGAAAAAATAAGACTAAGAAAAGTGATGATGAAATAGAACATGTTCAGGAGGAGCTGAAGATTGTTTAGAAATGAGAAAAATGATGGATGAAGAAAAGCGTGGAGAGAAAAAAAAAAAAACAAAAGAATGAGACGAGGCGTTCGAAAAGAAACGTGCAGAGGTGAAGAATGTGGATAACAAGAGGATAAAATTGTATGATGAGCGATAGGACGTAAAACAACAAAAATAAAATAAAATAAAAAATAAAAAATAATAAAACAGACTGAGTGCATTTGATGGTATAGAGTGAACGGTTGAAAATTAAAAACAAGTAATGGATCGTTGAGATAACTATCCAGTTGAGACCGGAATAAGTAGATCAACTGTTACTTGTCGAGTCAACGCAAGTAGTTTGACATGTTGAACAAGATATGTTTTAACACCAAGACGACGTATAATTCGAAATGGGCCTTCGTATCGTATATCAAATTTGTGACGTGGACGAATATTTTTTATAAGAACTAAATCGTTGATGGAATATGTAGGATTTGAGCGATTTGTATCATATCTAGATTTGTACTGACGTTGCGCATGAATTATATTGGTTTTTGCATTGTTTGTTAGATGTGATATATATTGACGTATGTTCTGAGTATAGTGAGGTGACTGTTGAAGGGAAACGATTGGGTTTTGAAGATCGAATGGTAGAACAGGTGAACGTCCATACATAAGTTCAAATGGAATAGTTTTTGTAGTGGAATGAGAACTAGTGTTATAATTAAAGATGACAAATGGAAGTTGATCATCCCAATCAGATCGACATTGATTAGATAAAGCGGCAATTTTTGCATCCATCGTGCTATTAAATCGTTCAATTTGACCATTAGTTTGAGGATGATATGGTGTCGAGTACAAATGAGTGATACCGAGACGTTTAAGTAAGTGTTCCATCATATTTGATGTAAAATGAGTACCATTATCTGTGAGAACACATTTCGGTGTGCCATATTTACAGATAACTTCTTCTTGAAGAAATCGAGCAGCAGTATCAGCGGTACAATCACGAACTGCTTTTGCAATAACGAATTTAGATAGGACGTCAGTGATTGAAATAATGTATTTGTTGCCATGTCTACTAGTAGGAGTAATTGGTCCGTGAAAGTCCATTGATAATAAGTGCCAAACTCCTTCCGGTGGCTCGATTGGGTTCAAATGACCAGCAGGTTTGCAACGAATAGGATTATTCTGATTACAACGGACACATGACTTAACGTAATTAGTGATATCGCTGGTCATAGTATTCCAATAGTATCGAGCTTTGATTTTCTTTATAGTTTTGTCACGACCGAAGTGTGCGCCGTTAGCTTGAGTATCATGATAGATTTTCATAATATCACGACGAATTTCTCCTTTCGGAACGCACGGAACGGGTTTCGAATTGTGTTCATGATGCATTAAGAGACCTTCTTGTAGGAAATAAGAGTTAACATACTTGTCATCAGTAAGATTATTCGTTATATGTTGGAGATCAGAATCCTTCTGTTATGCTTGTTTTAATTGATCAATATTACCAGTATATTCGATTCGTGGATCATCAGTAGTAATTGTAGAATTGGATGACGTGGATTGATGATTTTGAATATCAGATCGATTGATGTTTGATTGAGTAGTAGTATGATGATCGGATTGTGCTAATTGGCGAGAACGAGAACGAGTAGTAACCATGCCGACGATTGATGATGTGAGAAGAGTGTCGTTATCACTTGCATCAGTTTGAGTACCGATAGAAATAGAAGTTGGAAGAGCTTTATCGTCCATGTCATCTTCAGCGTGATCTACCGGTGATCGAGATAAATAATCGGGCATAGTGTTCGATTTACCTTTGATGTGTTTTATGGTGAAGTCGTAGGATTGTAGCCGTAAACGCCATCGTTCACATTTGTCGTTCATTTGAGATTTACGCATGAGTGCTTCTAATGGTTTATGATCAGATTCTAAGATGAAATGATGACCGTGTAAATAGTGATGCCAGAACTCAACAGCTTTGATGATTGCATAACACTCCTGTTCGATTGGAGACCAGCGTTGTTGAGTAGGTGTAAGTTTCTTAGACATATAACATATAGGACGATCACCTTCAGGATATGTTTGTAATAGAACAGCACCGATGCCAAGTTGCGAAGCATCTGTTTGTATTTTGAAAGGAAGTTGATTGTTGGGGAGTCGAAGAACAAGATCAGTAGTAAGTATGTGTTTGAGTTGTTCGAAAGCAGCTTGTTCTTCGGTAGATAATTTGAAAAGTGTAGATTTACTATTAGATGGATGTGTATAGCTGGAAGGATTATATTTATATAATGGACTAGCAATACGAGAAAAGTTGGGGATGAATTTACGGTAGTATTCAGCTCCCTTTAAAAAACGAAAAATCTCTTTCGGTGTTGTTGGCGTAGAAGTTTCCAATAAACCTCGTATATTATCATTATTCGGACGAATTTCTCCACGACAAATGTGGTGACCCAGGTAATCGATGTTATCGGTAGCGATGGTACATTTCTCGAAACTTAGACGAAAATTGTGTGTGTGAAGTAAACATAAGATTTCATCCAAATGAGAAACATGATCTTCAAAAGTTCTCGAAAAAATGACTACATCATCTAGATACGCTAGACAATGTTTCCATCGAGCAGGACCTAAAATTTGGTTTACAATACGTTGGAATGTAGGTGGACCATTTTTGACACCTTGAGGAAGGACTTTGAATTGATAATGATTATCACGAGTGGAAAATGCCGTTTTAGGACGATCGTGAATTGCTAATGGTATTTGAAAATATCCGCTCTTAAAGTCTAGTGTGGTAAAACAGGTTGATTGAGACAGTTGATCGAAAATATCTTCGATACGAGGTAGTGGAAAAGAATCTTTTACAGTAATATCATTCAGTTTTCGATAGTCGACGCAAAATCGTGTAGTACCGTCTTTCTTACGTACTAATACGACGGGCGAACACCAAGGTGATGTTGATGGTTCGATACTGTCTTGTTTTAAAAGTTTGGCTGTTTCTTCGGTAATAGTTTGATGATCTTGAGGTGAACGTCGATAAGGTGGAGTATAGATTGGTCGATGCTGATCGGTATCGATCACATGATCGAGAGTGATATTGATTTTTGATGGCTGACGTAGATCGAACAGTTTACCGTATTTCCAAAGGACGTCTTGAATTTTTTTCCGATGTGAGGTAGAGTCGATGTGTCGTGTTAATGTTTCGATTTGATGTCGTAATTCTGGCGGATAGCATTGTACACGAAGATGATGAAAAAGATTGTTTTGTGATAAAAATATCTGATGACAGACGTAACATTTATGCGATGAATTAGGAGAACGATGATGTATTTTGGATGATTGGAATTGATGTTGTGATGTAGTTGCACATATTAGTGATGATGAAGAAACAGTACCGAGACATGTATTTGAAGATAAAGTATATGGATGACTGGTAGTATTGACAATAGTTAAGTGTGTTTGAGAATTAGTTACTGTTATTAGAGCAGTTGGGAGTATGACGGCTTTTTGGTTAAAGCTGGAAGACGGTTCAAACAACAAATTTGAACTATCTGGCAGGTGTACAGTGGCTGTAATAATAGATTCGGAGTATTGTGGAATAGTAATTTGATCAAGTAGGCGGACTGTGCAGCATGATGTATTGTTCGATTGAATGAGTGAAGTGGTGGTAGTGTGACCTGTAGTGTCTTGTAAAGTTAAACGTCGTGTAGAAACATCCAAACATAAAACATATTGATTAATCCAGTCAGTGCCTACTAAGACATCGGTGACGAGACTCGAGGCAACAGAAGCCGTTACGAAAGTAGAAAGACCGCTAATTTTTATTTCAAGTTGAACTTTACCGATTATGTTGATCGTGGTACAATTAGCTGAAATATAAGAATTCTGTGAAGGTTCAAATGTATTGTGATATATACGTTGTAAAAATCGATTATGGATAATAGTGATACTAGAACCAGTGTCCAGAAGAATGTTATGATAAGTGTGATTGATTTGAGCATGAATAAAAAATGGGTTTGGGGATGTTGATGATGATGGCATAGTATTACTGAGAGCTCCGCCATCGTGAGTCCCAGTTATTGAAAAACCTGGGGACAATTACGAATATTATGGTTATGGTTACCACATTTGTAACAACCACGTGGTTGTTTATGATAACAGTCGATAGTACGATGATTCGATCGTTGACAAATTAAACATGGAGAGAATTGATTTAGTTGTGTTGAACGAGGACGATAGGCGCGTGATCTGTTAAGAGTGTGTGTGTAATCAGTGATACGAGTATTTTGAGGGATTTGTGAGTGAAGAGAAGTTTCAGAGCTTTGTCGTTGTTTTCCAGTGGCAGCGGTAACAGATGCAAAATAGGGTTGTGGTGAAATGATTGATTGTTGTGTTTCAGAAGGAATTTCATTTAGTAATTCTTCTTCATCACGAGCGATCTTCAAAAAAATAGCTGGTGTTGGTTCATCGTTGAGCATTTTGAGGCGACGTTTGACGTGTATTTTTAAATCATTACGAATACCATCTTGCAAATAATCAACGATCATATGCAGCGGCATATTATGATCAACTTGTTGACATAAATCAATGATATCATCATAGTAGGCGTCAAGTGATTCACCAGGTTGTTGTTTTCTTTCCTTCAGTCGCGTTTTGGTAGCAGAAAGAGATGGTTTAAAGCGTTCAAGAAGATGTTGTTTTAGATCTCGCCATGATTGTAGATGTGCTTGATTGTTATGATACCAATTAAAGGCAGATCCTTCTAACTTAATAGTAGCGAGAGAATGTAACATCGATTCATTCAATCCAGCGAAGCTGCCAATGTGTTCAACAGCATTAATAAACTGAGTAACTTTCTGATTAGGATCACCAGTAAATTTGGGTAGCTCTTTTAAAGCAGTAGTATGAAGAATATTTTGAATAGGATTTGGTTCCATATTTGTAGTTGGAGTAGTATGTGAAGAAGTAGTTGTGTCCACAGGAACAGCGTGATGTCGGATACGCCCGTATGTGATTATATCGTGTGGTAGTAAGTCACCGGGTTGGGTGTTGCTGCGTAAATGTCTGCGTTGTTGAGACGTCGTTTTTGTTTTTTTTTTTTTTTTTTTTTTTTTGTGAAGTGAATAGTTATGGAGAAAGTATGAATTGGACTGAAGAATTAATGAATTTGAAAGAATTCCAATACACAAGTGTTTGCAATGTTATGTGAAAAGCGATCGAGAAAAGACGGGTTACGGCACCAAATATCAGAGGTCCCTTTTGCTTCTTCTTTTAGTTCAGTTTTATTTC